AAGTGTTTGTTTCCCTATAAATGCAAACCAATCATCAAATCCATGATAATTATCAACGAAATGGCAGATCAGATGGCAATACAATCTCTTTCTGTGTCTCCGCCTCTTCGCGTCTCTTCCTATCATTAAAATGAGTGTCTCTTTCAGTCATGTCTTGAAATACACTTTCACTTCAAATAAACTTTTAAATCACATATAAATCACAATTAATTCAAATCTAAACCACAATTCATATGAAGTTTTCAAAAGTTTTTCTGTGTTTTCAAAACATATGACAAGAATTGTACATAAATTCCGTCACTTATTTGTACTCCAAATGAACGCCCGTTCCGTACAAATGCATACAAATTGGTGTGAAAGGAGAGAATATCAAAGAATCGTTGAAAGGTTTTGAAGGTCTTATATCTTCGGCTTTGGGACCAATTGTTACCAAATTATTAAATAAATTACAATTTAGTGCAAAACAAAAGCATTTTATTAATTAATACTGAAATTTCTTATACCGTATAACTCTTACATAATATAAGTCATTAGTTTTAATTTCAAGAATAATACACAGAATTTACNTTTGAAGGTCTTATATCTTCGGGTTTGGGACCAATTGTTACCAAATTATTAAATAAATTACAATTTAGTGCAAAACAAAAGCATTTTATTAATTAATACTGAAATTTCTTATACCGTATAACTCTTACATAATATAAGTCATTAGTTTTAATTTCAAGAATAATACACAGAATTTACAGCAAATAGCTATTCATTGATTAAAAAATTAAGTAAAAATTAATTAATACTGAAATTTCTTATACCGTATAACTCTTACATAATATAAGTCATTAGTTTTAATTTCAAGAATAATACACAGAATTTACAGCAAATAGCTATTCATTGATTAAAAAATTAAGTAAAAATAATTAAAGTAATTTCTAATATTAAATATTGTTTGATTTTAAACATTATAGTCATTAGCTAATAGTATTCATTCAAAAATAAGATTTAAACATTTGAGTAGACATTTTCGGCCAAATCTCTCTTCATTTCTAGTCTTTTGAATAATAATTCAATGATTTCTTTGAAAACTAATGGATCAGTATTTTGGGCCAACTTTTGGTTTGAAACGAAATAAAAAATTCATTAGTTTAGTGATAGACTTAAATTACTGTACATATGAATGGAAACATATATTTCATACCAAATCCAATATAAACCAATGGCCTAATTGTAATCCACAGATAAGACGCTTAAATTGCTTATCAAACCCAATGATCACTTCCTGGCGAGACCTGAAGACACGATATCGCATATGCGGACAAAAATAGAGACCGACTCTGATTACTATGAGAAAACTTGTGATAATTGCCAGAAAGTGAAACCAAAACCATATGAAGAGATATATCTTCTGATTGAATATATTGATCGATAGGACACATAAGGCATCGATGGTCTCAGGACTTCCAGAGGCGCTAAATCGTTTCATTTCGCATTTGCTTAGAATTGGAAATATCTGTAAATAATTGATTAATTGGTTAAATGGCATTAAAAACATCATAAACTATTCAACTATTACTTTAGTCATAGCGTTGACTCTCATATTGGGATCTCCCGTCAGAAGTCTCAACCAATCGGTGCCATAAGTCATGAAAGAGTGGTTCAGAAAGTAATTCGTCACAAAGATCTGAATGAAGACATTGCAGAGCGCCAACAACTCGCACAAGAAGTACTTCATGGCGTACCAGTTGTTCGCACCGCTATTTTTCTGTAGATATTCCACGATATCTATAATCTTCTTCTTCCGCTTCGCGTAATCGGTGGAGAAGTAGTCGAGATTCGCGACGAGTGAAGACATTTTGCTGCCTTCGAAGCACTTCCAGAGCCATCGCGGATAATAGAAGCAAATGGTCTGCCATAACAGCATAAACCAAATCCACAGATACTGTAATATCTCTTATAATAGCGGACACGTGTGGAGCCGAGTCCGGGATAGATGTCTTCGGAAGTATTGCTTCTCTCGAAGATATCCGTGTATTTGGTTCCCGAATATAAGCCAAAGATATAACAGTAAGAATTCAAGACATTGGTGTCGATGACACCGGGACTCGTCTCGCAATGAATGGGTTCACCGAATACCTGAATATTCGTGTGAATGATACAAAAGGCCAATAGTATGGCCACAGTTAGAGTGGTATTCAGTCTGAACACCAGTCCATCGACACGGAGGTCACGGTTTCGTAACCTTTTCCACGAGAAGTTCAATGCATTTATCATAGTTTAGTCGACAAATCGCTGTCTCTATGCAGTACTACACAAGAATATTCTGTGAGAAACACCTATGAATTGTTACACTATATAAGTATGGATACCAGTAATACTGGTCCAGTATTGTAGTCAATGAAGTTATTTAATTGTCGATTATAACCTCAAAAGTAAAAACGGGTTAAATTATACTTTGCTGTCAATGAATGATAGACTAATTTTATGACTCGTTTTCACTTTAAGTGAAAGTTTTTACAGTTTCACACAATTTCTTCCCATTTCTAGTGATGCAACCATTCATTGTATATACATTTTATATTATTAAATATAATTACAAATAATTTCACAAAAAAATCAACTTAAGTTTTATTCAAATCACATTATGTTTAAAAACAGTACAATTTGTTAATCTCAATTAACACATATCATAATCAATTATTAACTACTAATTATACATTTATTTCTATTAAACTATTCCTAATCAGTGTTTAAATAATTATACAAAATTAAAATACAATCTGAAAATAATTTGAATGTAACTTAAACTTCAAAATCAAACTTAAATCAAAATATTGTTTTACTCGTAAATCAAAAAATAATAATTTAAATGTTAAAGTTATCAAAATCTATAAATAATACTAATCACCAGTGTCTTAATTAAATTGTTAAATAATACAAATAATCAGTGTTTTAATATTAAATGTTAAGTAATATGTTTTATAAGGCCATATAGACCAGGGGACAGGTATCACAATAGACCGTCAGTTTGGACTGCAAGACACTTATCTGCGGGAACTGGTCTTTGCAACCACTCATCGCATGCTTTTGGATCACTTCTTTCATNCAGGGGACAGGTATCACAATAGACCGTCAGTTTGGACTGCAAGACACTTATCTGCGGGAACTGGTCTTTGCAACCACTCATCGCATGCTTTTGGATCACTTCTTTCATTCTTCGGGTGATCTCATCGATGGAAAGGCGAGTCTCGACACGCGATCCGCACGAAATACAGCCCAAGAGGTGTCCGTTTGATTGGAGATAATCAGTGCGACAAAAGGGACAAATGATGGCACCGATGGACAGGCCGTAGATGAAGCCCCGACTCTTCTGTTGGTCGGCTTTTGTCTGCAATCCCTCCCAAGACTTGTTCCGTTCGATCAGCGCTTCGGTCGTCAACTCTTCCACTCTTTCGTCCATTTGTTGCGATATCTTCATCGCTGGTGTGGATGTGTTGCCATTGATATCAAACCTGTTCAACATATCGGCCAACGCTTCGCATTGTAAGGACGGGTCGTTCACTGAAATGATTTACATTTTATTGTTTTATTTATATTTTATTCATAAATTTTATAAAATTAATGTTAACTTACTTTTGGTGTTGAGATCGGAACCGCTGACGATGTCTTGAGATATGTGCTTAAGTGTAGTTGTCTTGAGGCTTTCAACTCAAATGAACTGCAATTAGAAAACGTTTTTCGAAATTTAATGTTAAAACTGAATGTTTGAAACGATTTGTCAGTTGTATTGACTCATACACTGGGAATACAACAGAAATAATATAAAATAGTGAAATTCCATTATTTATTAATAAACCATAAAATACTAAAGCATAACTTAAAATTCAAACTTACCTAGTGTATATTTAGTCCAAAAGTTGGATTTGTAATCACTTTTGGAAATGTAACTAATAGTGGAAACTAAACTAACAATTTTGTAAGGCAATCTTTAATTTACAATACTTTGTCACATTATAAAAATGTAAACTTTAATATTAGAGATATTTTTAAAAAATAAACTACACCATTGAATTCCAACCTATATTTAACCCCTGCATGGATAGGGTGATTCACAAGTCTAGGTGGGTGGGTGGAAATAACCTTATAACCTTGCTAAGTAACATTATTAATAACTGGTCATCATTTTTTAATAAATTAGTTGTGTATTGCAAGTCATAGACTTGTGAATCACCCTATCCATGCAGGGGTTAAATATAGGTTGGAATTCAATGAACTACACTAATCATTAATCAAAGTTTTATAAATAAAATAATTTCTTACCTTAATTTAGTATGTTTGTAAATGAATAATTGCTTATAATCTTATAATGTGTGAACAATTTTGAAATCGTTGCTATATTTCAGTATTCAATATCGGAATAATCAAACAAATGAATTCACAATTAAGTGTATTATATGAAAGAATGAATAAAATTTATATACCGTAATTTTAAAACAAGAAACTATAGTTTTATTGAATATAAAAATATCAATAAATTAGTGAAAACAAACACTTTCTATACTTTTATATTCTGTAATCGACTTTCACATCTTCTCAACTGGACTTTCAGACACGACTCGGGAACTGTTGGCTTTCCTCTTGTAATTTCCAAACCACCGATTAATGCCATTCCTGCGCCTCTATCGCCACCTCCTGTGCCCCTAATCCCAGATCAGTCGGACTCTCACAGACTCCCAACATCTGAGGCGAGTGACCGCTGAGGCCATCTCAACCAGTGCTGTGTCCTAAATCCCAGTACCAGAAGACATAATCACTCGGACTGTCTGTACTCTCCTCTACACCACTGACCACATATCCATCCCTCCCCCTCGGGGGCACTCCTCGCACGGCATCCACCGCTCGACCCCTTTGTGCTTCCAATTCCTTTAATACCAGTCCATTCTCAACGTCTTGGATGTGTCCGAATCCCAGTTCTCTCGCTCTTTACATCCCATACCTTTACCACCACTTTCTCCATATATTTCCCATCAATTGTTGTTTTCGAGTGGAAGTGTTGCCTCCAGAAGTAATGTCATTTGTGAAGACATTTGTTTTTCACTTTTACTCAAACTTTCTTTTATTAAGCGTTCAAATTGTTTCTCGATTTTTTGATACATTTTTAAGAACTCATTATTTCAAACAAATGCAAATTCTTTGTTATAAATTATTAAATCCAATTTGTAGCTCAAATCGGAATATTTCTTGTATAAATAGAAACAATAAAAATTAAGTATTATATACATTATAATTATTTATTAATTATTTTTAATGAATTATTTGTTCATTATCAAATAACATTAAAGAGCACTCAAATTCAATGTTAAGAAATATCGAACTTTCTGTTTATATTGATTTATAATTAATAATTTATAATAAGAATAATTGTTAGTTTTAATACTTTATATGATTAGGGTGTATACCGTTAGGTATATTTTGACACAAAATTGAAATTGTATTAAAAATCTAACTTATTGTATTTTATGTCACAAATTATTGAGTTTGTTATATACTG